AGAGTACTTTGAAGGTGACTGAAGTCTAAACATGTAAGAATAAATATACAATGTTTATAAATAAATTCCATTTTGGGGGGATATCTGTTGTATTATTTAATTGTTAGAAGGAAAAGAAAAAATAGTGCCATTCCAGAATTGGAGCACTCAGAAGGTGAAATTCAGCTAGCTTGGAAGAACATAGAAATTAGCTTATCACCAACAGGTCAGGAATCTGTTTAGGAAAATTTGTTAAGCAAAGAATAGCATTCACGTAACATAAGAGGGGTGTGTCAGGTTAGGAAAACCTACTTCAGCTTTTCAGTACAATCTCCATTAGTCACAGATTTAAATTTTAACATGTTAATGAAATTGAATTCAGTTAAAAATTTAGTTCCTCAGGTGCACTAGCTACATTTCCAGTGCTTTATAGCCATATGTAGCTAGTCATATGTAGACAGATTTCCATCCTCACAGAAAATATAGGATCTAGGGTCCTCGAGAGTAGACATCAAGGAGCAAGACCCATGAGAGGGAACAAAAGAACCAAAGACTTAGATAAAGAGGCTGAGCAGCACAAATCTTGACCTAGGTATTGAATAAAGTGACACAGCTGGAAGAATTTACTCTTGTCGAAGACCCCCTGAAGCCATGCAAGAAATTACATAAGTATGAGTAGTAACACAGCCCACACTGACATCTGTGTTAAATAGTATACTCTATCCCATTATGTTATAAATGACTTCAGGGGAGGACAGGGCCTACTGAAAAGATTTCATGGGACAAGAGTTAGATAGATAACCTGGCCCATGAAGGATTATGACTGGGTTGTATGGGCAGTGACTGGAATATTGAATGTCTACCTTCTGCTTCTAATTTCACTGTTCTTGCACACCATTTAAGATATAAATGAGTGCATCTTGATGATAATGGTCACATTCCTACAGTGCTTAGATATATTTAAGCATTGCTTTTTGTATATTAAGTAAATATAGTAAAAGGCAAATAACTGATCTATTCAAGTTGAACAGAAATAAATACAATCCCTAATCTTAAATTTCTGTGTGTTAAACTATTTTGGATTCTTTAAACAAATGACTCAAATTGTAGATACAATGTATGTTGGAAACAATCATAACATGTATATGGATACTATCCGAGATACACAGAATGTTGTTAATGTGTTTATAGCACAGAGCCATTTTGGTTAGAGGATTATAATAGTAGCTTACTTGTACTTTTGGTGAAATGGTAAGCTAATGATGTAGCTGTTAATTTTAATTTAGCAGACATTTTAAATATAGGTTTCTCTTACAGAGACAAAAGTTGCAATTTAAAGCTCTTTGGTGGTCTAAAAACAGCTTAATTCTGTAGTAGTATGGTAATAAGTACTAATCCAGCTTATACAGTGATTGTAGTATGTCATGTTTGTGAAAGATTGCTCAACTGCTTTCTCTGGGTTTTATGTTAATTTAAAAATATTAAACATAAAACCTTATAACATCTTCATGCTGAGATAAACTGTTCAATTTAACTTGTGCTCAAGCAGCAGCTGTCAGGAATTATCTTGTTCCTAGTGGTTTTTGCTATCACCTTGTGCCCTTTCCTGCCAGAGACACACTGTGGGATGAGAAAGCATACCTTGTTAGGATTTATTGCTTAAATAATACCTGAAGCAAGATGAACACTGGTAGCCCAGGGATTAGCTGCTGATTGAGTGATGTCATTCATTATATTACTATCAACTTTTAAAAACTGATGGTAGGGGACAAAGTAAAGTTTGCCTATCGATCATACCTTCCTTACTTTTGTAGTCATATTCATTATTTCTTTTGGGGTGTTGTTGAGCTACATATTTGAGAAATTGCTTATTGCCAAGTTTAACTACCAGGTTGCAAGTGAAAAAGCAAAGAGAAATGATAGAGATAATTTCCACCATTTAGAAGTAGTGAGGGCCATTTCAAGATTAGTTATAAAAGTACAATCAATTTCCTTTTCATAATTAAAAGGAAAAAATTTCCTTTTCATTTTGGTTTGGGCAGTCTCAGATGGTTAATATTATAGAAATATTGCCATTTTTCTTCTGAAGAAAGTGCCTTCTTTCAGTTGGTAGGTTTTCTGTGGAAGGTTCAACTTTAGGTTTGGCTTTTTTTTTTTTTTAAATATGGATCAGTTAGTGGGTAGGATAAGGAGAGAGGACATGTGGTAAAAACAGAGTGAAGGTCTCATCTTGGTTAAACATTTGCTACAGATGGTCCACCCTGAGGATAGTTTTCATGAAGGAAATTAACAGTTGGATTATGGCTAGAAATACATATATGAAGCGTTTATTGTTTATAGAATGTCGAATTTTTTTCCTTCTGCTTACTGCATTTAATGACTATTCCTCCAGATTTGTAGTTTTATAAATGTATAACCTACCAAAAAACTTACAGTAGGACAATGTATTCCTATATACCTAGTCACTTAGATTAATCAATTGTTAATGTTGTTGCACAATATACATCTTAATATTTATTTTCAGTAGCATTTAGAATTAGTTGCAGATGTCATGACACTTCACGTGTAAATAAATTGACATGAATCTCCTAAGAATAAGGATATTCTGCTACATAATTGTAATAAAAGTACATGATACTTTAAAAATTCAAGATTAATAAAAATTTATAGTCTTATATCCAACCTGTATTTAACTTTTCCTATTGTCCTAATAATGCCCTTGATAGCTGTTTCTTCACCAAGAAGTATTCAAGCAAGAAGCACATATTGGATTTAGTTTTGGGATCTCTTTATTTTCCTTTAATCTAGATTTTTTTTTTCCTTTTATAATATGGCATTTTTAGATATCCAGCTTAGTTACTTTTTGGAATATTTGTCTGATTTTTTTCCTTACCAAATTCAGATCAGGCATTTTTGGAAGGACTGCTACTCTGATTTGTATCTTTCTGCTCAGGACATCACATTTGAATGACATACAATAATATCATTTTGACCCATTACTGGTTGTATTAACTTTCATCACTTTGTTAAGTTGGTGTCTACCGGATTTCTCTATTATAAGGGTACCATATTGAGGAAAATAATAAGTCATAAAAGGACTGCATTGAATGCATTTTTCTGCCTTGTTTATGGAAAACATTGCACTTGCTCAAGTCTTAATGATTAAGAACAGGAGTCATTACTTGCAATAGTGTGTATGGTCAGAGGTGTGGAGTAAGGAGAATAGTCATTGGGGGGGATTATTCAATAACTAGACCCACAAGTTGCCATCCATTCCCTTTTGTGGAAAATATTGATTAATTGAAATTAATATTTTGTTATTTTCTTGCTAAGGATCAGATTTTCAGGTAAGCAAATATCTTCACATTTCAGAATTTTCGATGTAAGTTTAGAGAGACTTATGTGGTTGGGGGGGATATTCTTGGACAAAATAGGGCATTATTTGATCATAATTTTCTGTTTTCTTTATTTGGGTGTAGATAGAGAGTTCAAAAAATAAATTCACTTCCTTGGTAAGATTTTTTTTCTTTAAAGAGATAAACCATAACCTTAATACAACTATATGATCTTAAATAGGAAATGCTGACTTTTGGTCTTACGTGCCTGTTTTAGCCCATGAAGAAGACACTTAAATTCCTACTTATGATATATGCACTTATTATGCAGTCATTCTTCTTATGTGAAAGGCTAGTGCTTCATATCATATAAACACCTGAAGTTAGCCATTTGGCTTGTCAGCAAGGGAGGATTTATAGCAGTTGTAATTATGGCAATAACAAGGATGATATTTTGTATTTATTGAGTACAGAAAAAAAGCACTTGCAATATAAGTGGTCTACAACCAACTCATATCTGTGGTGTAATGAAAAGCACCTTGAGCTTAGAAGACCTGTACTTTCTGCTTTGCCTCTTTCTATCAGTGTGATCCTAGAAAAAAATCTTAACCTTGTTGGAACTCATTTTTTAGAATGAAAACTAAAACCATAAGGGTCAAAGATGTTACATTATGTTATAAAGGTGGCATTCTATCAAAATTGTGCCATCTAAATATCCTCAACTGCTGAGGGAATGTACTTTGTCACCCTTTTATGTCGGTAGACATCTCATTAGGGAAACTCTTCCAGGTTGTCCCAGACAATTCTTTCTGTTTGTTTCTCTAATACTTTGTGTATGTCTCTATTACAGGCAGCATTTATCCTGTCAGCTACCTTGTTCATCTTTTCTGTTCTTCCTGGTTAGACCACGGTGCATAGTAGGCATTTAACAAATGTTTGTGGAATTAGAGAGTAAATAGACACTTGTTTTTATTTATAAACATGAATAGGTATGCTTTCAGTTTTCTTTTACCCCCAAAGACAAGAAATCAGTATTTCATCAATTTTTTAATACTTGTGCTTTATATGAGGGATTTTATAGATTGTGCATGTGGTGACATTAACAGTTTAGTAAGGAGAAGAAAAGATTTAAAGGAAAACAAGTATTATGCTACTTTAAAAGTGGGGGGAGGGTGAGAAAGCATGCCAGGAGAGAAAGATCACACTTGATAAGTCTATTGCATAAATCAAAAGGGTTTATGTCATAACATGAACATGTGCCATTCCTGCTTGTATATTGAATTTCAGTAGTTGGTTGCATAGAGAAGTAAAGTGTAATGAAACTGGCAAGCAAAGTATTCCCTAGTCAACCTTATCTTTGTTCCGTTTGTCCTTCAGATAAAGCTTTTCTTGCCTTTTTCAATAAAATCCGTCTAGCTTTTTTTTCCTCTCTCTCTTCTTTTTTGCATCTCTTAGTAACTGAGCTAAGAAGACCAGTGAGATCCAGAGCTTTTATAGTTCTAAGCAGCTGCTTTTTAAGAGATCAAAACTTAGAATGCCACTACATCATATTAAGCCTCAACAATTATATGTCCCTATAGGGGATGTGTTTCTCTTGGGGTGGGAAGAGAAAAGAGGAGAGAAGAGCAAAGGATAACCCCTTCATGCATACTTGGGACAGTAAACCCTAATTTCCTTGTTTCCTAGGATCCTCTTTGCAAGCTCGGTGCTTAACCTGACCGAACTGGCTGCCCTTCGCCCTGACCTTGGGAAATTGAAAAAGATTCTGTACTTCCATGAGAATCAATTGGTATATCCTGTCAAGAAATGTCAGGAGAGGGATTTCCAATATGGATACAACCAAATTCTTTCATGGTAGGTATTGATTATATTTGACCCTTTGCTACCTTTTTCTTTTTTTCTTTTTTTTTTTTTTTGAGTTGGAGTCTCACTCTGTCACCCAGACTGGAGTTCAGTGGCTGCTCCCAGCCACCGCAGCCTTGACCTGCTGGGCTCCAGTGATCCTTCTGCCTCAGCCTTCCAAGTAGCTGGAATTACAGGCATGCGCTACCACACCTGGCTGATTTTTTGATTTATTGTAGAGATGAGGTCTTGCTGCCCAGGCGGGTCTCGAACCCGTGGGCTCAGGCAATCTACCCACCTCAGCCTCCCAAAGGCGTGGGATTACAGGCTGAGCCACCGAGCCCGGCTCTTTTTCTTTATTATAGATAGCTAGTTCTTAAATCTGGAGACCTGCTACTGTACACTTATTTTAAAACACTTTAAGGTAGGTGCAAGTATTTAAACATATTTTCCATTGTAGTAATTACTTGTGCTTTTGCAGTATATGTACGATCACAGCTAATTCTTTATAAAATTATATGTATAACAGTCTAATTATATGTTGAAATAATTATTGAACTATTTTTCACAACATTCAAGATAGACTCAAATGATTGGCAGGAGCCTTCATTCTTTGATTTCATGATCTGTTGTTTAAGGTACAGTTTATATAAAGGGCAGTTAGTCATCTTTTATTTGCTAAGTACTACCACTGTATTCAGCTAAATCAAAATAGAAATTTATAGAGAAATAAACTAAAATTTAAGTCTAATGGAGCAACTTGAGGGTTTGTCCCTATTTTTGGTTGTTTGTAAGACAGAGAAAACTAAGGAAAACGAATCTTTATATAGTGTTTTTTTTTCTCTCATTGAGTCTTCTGAGATGGCACAGCCTTAAAATATCATGACATTTTAAAGATGATGGTCCTTTCTATTGTTACTTCAACAAGATGTATCTCCTGAAGCTTAGTTAATGAAAGAAGTTAATAACAACTCTGAAGCGGCTTTGTGATTGGATCCTGTTCACATAACTGCAGCAGTCAAATGGAATCTGTTTGGCACTGATTGGGTGCATTTAACTCATCTTTGTTATCAACAATTATTAGCAATTGAGATTAATGATGTATTTAAAAAGGCCCTCAATTCTTTTTTTTTTTTTTTTTTTGAGTTGAAGTTTCACTCTGTCGCCCAGACTCGAGTGCAGTGGCTGCTCCCGGCCACCGCAGCCTCAACCTGCTGGGTTCCGGTGATCCTTCCGCCTCAGCCTTCCAAGTAGCCGGAATTACAGGCATGTGCTACCATGCCCGGCTAATATTTTGATTTATTGTAGAGACGAGGTCTCGCTGCCCAGGCGGGTCTCAAACCCGCGGGCTCAGGCAATTCACTCACCTCAGCCTCCCAAAGGTGCGGGATTACAGGCTGAACCACCGAGCCCGGCTTGGCCCTCAATTCTTGCAGGTATATTCCATAGATTAGTTGACATAGAAAACAGCTATATAGTAATAATTTTGTGTTTTGAACATTTTGTAAATGTTTTTCTACAATCATTTTTACAAGCTGCTTCAGTTGTGAAGTAGCAGTGCTATCAAAACAGAGTGGAAGTGCTTCACGTCAAATGTCTCATAAAAAAGCAACCGTTTTAGAATTTCATAATAAAATTAAAATACTTTATATTGAAACCGAGAAGAGTAATATGTTTTAAAAATGAAAATAAAATCATTTTGTGCTTTATCAATATGGAAAACATTTGTAATATTCTTTTGATTTCTTAAATTAGCATCATTCTTCTCCTCAGATATGTGTTTATTACCCCTGAGAAATCACTGGGAAAAAAATTAAGTTTATTTTCTCCTTTATGGGTGGCTTTAAAGTTAGTGGAAGTTATACCCACTCATATTAGGGAGAAAATGCACCAAAAAGAGTATTTCTGTAAATTATCTTGGATCTTTAATTTAGCATAGACTGGATTTTTTAAGAGCATAAGCACTTGGGTTGCATGCCCTTTGAGGGAAGGCAGCTAAAAAAAAATTTAGTTCCCTGCTTCTCCTCTTTTTCATAAAATGTCGTTTTTGCTCACAGGGAGTGAGGCTATAAAAGCTGTATGTGATTTTTCAGCATAGCTTTTCTCAAGAGGGTAAACTTATAGACAAGGTTGGAGAGAGAGAGGTGGACTTCATCATCAGTTGGCTTCTTAATGAGGAAAAAATGGTTCACAGTTGTCCAGAGGAAAAATAGGAGTGTCAGAAAGTAGTCTTGTTCAGATTGTGTCTGAAAAGTATGACCTCTTACTTCCTCAAGTGTTTCTTTAGTTTTCTTGCTGACTTCTGCTCTTTGGCACTGTCAGATTTCTTTCTTGATTATGTTGCAGTTAAGGACTTTAGAGATGACTGACATAAGCACTCACCTTAAACAGAGGTTTCACTGACCCTCTGACTTATGAACACATGTCATAACTGTATATTATGACCTGTGGGTCACTATTACAATATGTGACAGACTAGCTATAAAACATCCTTCAACTTTTGGTATATTATTATATTAACTTCCTTATTGCTTCATGGTATGTCAGCATTTCTGTGACATTCCTTTGTATTATGCATGTTATAATCATCCCTGATCCCCAAATTTGCACTAGGTAGCAACTAGAAAAAAAATACTTGTATGAAAAAGCATTTTTTGTGGGGGGGGGAAGCATGGGAATAGCAGGTCAGTGTTCCTTTCACTGGTTTTTTTTTTTTTTTATTCTGCTATGTATAATAATAAGTAATAAATAATAAATTTGGCTGTCTAAGCAAATATGACTTAAACTGAACAGGATTTGCTGTGGAATTCCTATTCTATAAGCTCTACTTATTCTGTTGTGTTTTGCAGTCTCATGGACACATAACTTCTTTTCAGTGTTATTGCTCTATCATTTTTAGGGTGAAATAAAACTAACTGCTTTGTCTTGTATATAAATGCTCTTCTACTTATGATGGGGTTAACACCTAAACTACCAAACATTGTAGCTTATCCTAACCTAGTTTAAATGTTCTCAGAACACTTGCATTAACCTATAACTGGGCAAAACCATCTGTCAATACAGTCCACTATAGAGTATGGGTTGTTTGCCCTCATGATTGCATGACTAACTGGGAGTGGCAACTTGCAGTCAGTGCCCAGCACTGGGAGAGAGTATCATACTGCATATCACCAGCCCAGAAAAAGATTAAAATTTAGAATTCCAAGTGTGGTTTCAACTGAATGTGAATCTTCTGTTGAAGATTTAAAAAACCTTAAGTTGAACCATTGTAAGTTGGGTTCTGGTATGTACTACGTTTATTTTGTTTAATTCTGAAGGTCAGTGATATTGCAGTGCTTTATAATTTATACATTTCTTTGTGTAATCAGTAGGACCTAGTGATCTGGATTTCTGGATCAATTTCTACTAGTATCTTCCACTTCTCTGACTACTCCACTATAATATAATATAATAATGAAAAAGTTATTGTAGGGGTACCATAATCCTTCCTGAATAGTCCCAGAACTTTAAAAAACCGAACTCATTTTTTTTTAAGTTTGCTTGCTAAAGCAAGAAATAGACTTTAACCAAATAGTGTTGAAAGTATGATGCCCTCGTATGAAAATAGCTTTATTTGAATTAATTTACTTGAAGGTAGTGAGGAATATGACAGATGTTCTGTTTTCATTAGTTGTGAAGCAGTGCACATCACTGATATAGAAATTCAACACGGGTAGTTGGGTCTCAAAAGAAAAGGAACTGCTGTACCTAATGTTGATAATAGAGAAGGTTTCTGGCATTATAGAAAAATGTGCTCTGGTTTGACGTCTCATGTGGTCCCATGTAATTGTTTCATTTCTCTGTGGCCTTTCCTCTCTGATGCTACCAGTTCAACATCCTGTGATACAGACTAGTGAAACTAACTTATCTATTAGAGACATTTTGAAAGGTAATGATGAGCAGTGAAGAGTTCTTTGGAAACCTAAGGTATAGGATAATGCTGATAAATACAGAGGTCTTAGGTTTATAAAAATAATTCCAAATGAGTTTGGGCTCATCATTTGCATTTATCTTTTACCTTTATAGCCTGGTGGCTGACGTGGTGGTCTTCAACTCAGTTTTTAATATGGAGTCATTTCTCAAATCTATTGGAAAATTTATGAAGCTGATTCCTGATCATAGACCCAGGGATCTGGAAAGCATCATCAGACCCAAATGTCAAGTTATTTACTTTCCCATCAGGTTTCCTGATGTGAGCAGGTCAGTGTGTTTGACTCTCTTCTCAATATTGTGTCATAAATTATTCCTCAAATGTATAGAAATTGGTGTTCTTGCCAGTTTTAACTTTCCAGTGTGAGCATGATTCACTAGAGAATTGAGTTCTATTTCACCATGCTGTGATTTACAAAGATTTTAAATAATCGTGTGTCTAACCGCTCACTGAATAGTTAGTTCAGATATTGAGTCTTCCTTTCTTTTCTTTTGTTTATTTGTTTGCCAAAGCAAGCTGCTTTGGCTTTTAACACTTACTATTCTTTTTGTTTGTTTTGTTTTGTTACAGAAGTCATTGTCAAGTATATTTCTCAACCTATGTGGCTTATACCCATTGATTTGTATGTATAATAGTAGCTGTTCTAAGTAAGTCAGTGTTAAGTCTCACTGCCTAGATGACTTTCATTTCCCATGTCGTTTTCTTCCGTTTTTACTTCTTTCATTTTTTATTACTTATATTATTTTAATAAAGAGTTAGGTCTTCTATATTGGGTTGCAAATGCACTTAATTGCCATTTTTCTTTCTTAGTTACTAAGGACATTTTTTATTACCCTTGTTTCTGGGCCCACTCTGAATTAGCAATGAATGATGTGGCTCAAAGGGAACATCCTGGAATTCCTTTTCACTTTTGATTAAACCTAGCAAAACTGTTTTTACTACCACCAGGAATATTTCTCCCTTGTGAACAGAAAGTTTACTTCAGTGGTACTCACACTAGCTGGGGATGCTGCTGTTTTCTAACTGACTGCCTCCTAAAAAGAGTTCAAGAACAGCTGTTTCTTCCCCATCCTTGAAATGAAGGCAGGAAATGATTTAGCATCCATAGATGTTATGTAGAAGGTCAACATTAGTCACTGTGCTCTACCCTTACTGAGTTCACTCAGATTTTGCTGTAGGGACAGTAGTCCTCATCTGTACCACTATTGCTGATTTATTTGAGTGTCTTATTTGTTAATATTTCACTGAAGAAAAATCTGCCCATACCAAATCAAGTTAGCGAGTTGTAAGATTTAAGTTAGATTTTACCCAATCTTTATTTTTATGGAGTGCAGAAAACAGAGACCCAGAGAAGTAGAAACGGTTTGTTCCCACCCTGTCATTGTGACAGACTGGATGAAAGTTTAGGCCTTATGACTTTTGATTCAAATTTCTATTTACTGTTCAAGCTTCCTGTCATTATAGGTCATTTGTCAGAAACATCTAATGATTTATTTGCTATTTTCAAAACTGTAAGGCTAAGTGGAACCAAGATCACAATCAATTTTCACATATAAATGTATATAATTATGTAAATTATATATACTATATATTTGTAGACATACAGTTTTTTAATGTATGATGAAACAGTTTTAACTTTTGAAAAATGTAATTGTTATACTTTTAGGTCTGTGATTAACTAGAACACATTTACATATCTGAATTTTTAAAAAATGAACCTTATATTTTGACATAAGCTTAAAGTTCTTTTATATAATATACAGGCAAAATGTACATCTTTAAGAAAGTAGGTGATTGTAGCTTATCTTAATTACTACTGCTATAGAATTCCAAATAAATAATGTAGTAAAACTCATTTGCATATGATAGATTTCTACAACATCATATATTTAATATACCTATGGCAGTCGAATAGTTTATTAATTTGGACCATGTTACCATAAAGGAATCTAGCTAAATAGAAGAAGGTTAAGAAATATTTTGGCTAAGATAACATTCATAAGCAAGGTCTTAGCCCAGAGTGTTATTTGAATTTTTCAGATGGTAATTTGCTTTATACAACCCAAACTCATATTGTGTAAGTAAATGATTATCTGCATGAATGACAATCATTGTAATGCCTGCAGTTTTAAAATCATATTATTTTGTCAAGATGTTGAAAATATTTATTAATTCCAAAGGCAGAATAACCAAGGTGATTAAAAAAATTTTTTTGAATGCTTATATCTTTCTCCCTATTTAGATATTATTTGGTCATGGCAAAAATGAATTTAAGTAAAAGCAAAGCAGAAGATATAGTTAAATCATTAATGTATAACATGATATGATATAATGTAATATAATAGATATTAACCTGGGGGAAAACCATATTTCCAGTGAAATAAGTGAGGATTTATAGAGGTGGTATCTGTTAAAACTCAGAACTTGTCTATAGCGTAGGCATTCAGTAATATTCAACTTGTGACATAGCTGCTACCTCTTGTTCTCTTTACCCATCCCTTGCCTCATTGCCAAAGATCAGAAAAATAATACCAAGAAAGAATATTCTTTTGAAAATATTTTACTATCTGTATTGAATAATTGGGATGGGAAAGCTCCCAAACATGGTAGTTACGTATATATGTACTTGTGTCTTGACCACCACTTACTAGTTCTGTGACCTGTAAAAGTGAAATGATCTTGAGCTTAGGTTTTTTAATGGTTATGATTAAACCACCTCATAAGGATGATGCAGCGATTAAATGAAATAATGCATAGCAAATGCCTAGCATATAGTATACCCCCTCCAGCAACAGATTATTTATCTTATTCACCTCTCTACTCCCAATAACTTATAACCTACCATATTTATTGCCACCTGAATATAGAGAACTGTCTGACTTTATACCTCCCTCCTTCCCATAATCAACACTTGAAAACAGAGAACTACTCTGCAGAAGGCTCAGTCTAATAAAAATAAAGAGGTTGGTTTACTTACTTCCTTTATCACCCGGAGTCAAGCAGTCCTTTGGCCTCCCCAGACCCTACCATCCATTGATTGAGCCAACTTCTTAGTTTTACTTTTGTCTCATTTTCTCTTTCTTTGTCCAGGTTAATTTTCTTGCTCCATCATTATATTTATTATATTGCATATGTTCTCAAGTATTTTATACGTTTTGCTTCATCTCTATTGCCAAAACTCCTGACCTACTTAAATCTATTTGTTTACCTGTTCTCTACCCACTCTCATGGGATTGAACATGACTGGAGAAAAACATCCAACCATATTTATTAGCATATTCTAACTTCATGACATCTAAATTCAGATGGGCCCTTTGAGCTACTTGAATACTTTCCTCTTCTAGATTATTAATCATGCCTTCTCCTTCTTTGGGGGGAACACTCCCATGCACAATCTTCTGTCTTCATTCTCAGCAGATGACTAAGAAAATAGAAGCAATTGCAAGATAACTTTCATACAATGACACTACCACATCTACCCAATTATGTGTCTCTGGGTACATGTTTTCTATTTTCATACCTGTTACTACGGTTGAACTGACCTTGCTTCTAAGGCTTCATTCCCACTTCTTTGCCAGAGCCCATCCTTCTTACATACTCAAAGACTTATTGTAGTAGCTATTTTTCCTTCTCTATACTGCATCATTAGTTTTCCTTTTTCTGAATCATTCCTAATTTCCTTTCTTCTGGATCATTCCTATTAGCATACAAAAAATAATATTATTTCTTGTGTCTTTAAAAAATTCTCTTGATGCCGGGTTCAGTGGCTCAGCCTGTAATCCCGCGCCTTTGGGAGGCTGAGGTGAGTGGATTGCCTGAGCCCGCGGGTTCGAGACCCACCTGGGCAACTTGGCGAGACCTCATCTCTACAATAAATAAAAAATTAGCCGGGCGTGGTAGCACGCACTTGTAGTTCCAGCTACTTGGAAGGCTGAGGCGGAAGGATCACCAGAGCCCAGCAGGTCGAGGCTGCGGTGGCCGGGAGCGCCCACTGCACTCCAGTCTGAGCGACAGAGTGAGACTCCAACTCAAAAAAAAAAAAAAAAAACATTCTCTTGTTTCCACTTCTCCCTTCTACTACTGTTTCATTTCTCTCCTCTTAGTAGCGAGATCTCTTAAGAGAGTTGTTTATGCTTGTTGTATGACAAGTTTAATTTAACTCCTCCTGTTCTCTCTTAAAGCCTTTCCACTGAAACTGTTTTTGTCAAGGTCACCAATGACTTCCATGCCTCTAAATTCTATGGTCAGCTCTCAGTACTAGTCTACTTAACATAGCCGCATTTGACACACTATGATCCATTCTTCAGTTGGCCTCTAGGACACATAGTCCCCTGATTTTTATACAGGACTGCTACTTCTTAGGCTGCTTTGCTGATTTCTCATCATCTTACTGACCTCTTAACATTGGAAACACTTTGGCATTCTTGATACTTAAGTGGTTGATGGAAAAAGTATCTAACATTGAAGTGCGAAGAAAAAATAAAGTAAGGAGGTCAACAATGAGATAATTATCCTGTGGAACAAAGGGAAGAGAGTTTTAAGATAATCAGTAGTGAATTCAGAGCAGTGAAGTTAAGTATGGCGATGACTAAAGAGTATTCTTGAATTAGACAATTAAAGGGTCACTGTTACCCCATCCTGCATTCTGTGAAGTCACAGAAAAGGTTCATGTATATGCTGTATACTGATAGCCAGAGAAACTTTGAATTCAAGTCTGGATGAGAAATCTCTCAGTCTCTTTCTTTTCTTTCTCATTGTCTGTGTACACACACACACACACACACACACACACACACACACGCACATGCACACGCGCACGCGCACACGCACACGCACACGCACACACACCCCACTTCTCATTTTATGGATGGCCCAGAGAAGTTATGTGTCTTCTGGCAACCACACAGCTAGATATAGGCAGAACAGGAACTAGAACTCATATCTCAAAATCTCCATCGACTGCTCAGCTCCACTTACTGTAAATGCAGTTTTGAGGTCTTGATTATCTGATTTTTCAGCTGACAGCAGATTAGCAGCATCAAATTGGGGGTGTGATAAAGGCAGGTTCACTGACAGCAGTAGAAAATGACAGCTGACTGACAGCTTGACAACAAGGGAGGAGAGAGATAACTATTTTGAAAAAAATATATGGAAAGTGAAAAAACTTAGCAGCCTAGAGCCATTCTGTGGCAGGGCAGGCTACTCTGCACATCAAATAACCCCTGCAGACATTTCTCCATGATTGTATGACTTGTACATCAAAAGGGTG